AGAAAGATTCGTATCAGCCCCTCTGCCCTTGGACAAGTAGGGCACGTACCAGCCAGGAATTGGCCAATAAAAGAAACCACTCTAGGTATTTCAAGCAGCAGGGAATGTAACCCAGGGATTTAAAGTTTCACAGACCTACTAGGAGGTCTGGGGAAGTGGAGGTCAGAGAAGCTGCTTTGAAGAATTCAGGAGCTCAGGAAGTGCAGGGATCAAAAGTGAGGGCAGGACTTCCCTGGTGGGGCAGTGGTTAGGAATCCACCTGACATTGCAGGGGACATGGGTTTGAGCTCTGGTCCGAGAAGATCCCACATGCCCGGAGCCTGTGCACCACAACTACTGACCCTGCACTCTAGAACCCGTGAGCCACAACTACTGAGCCCGCGTACCAGAACTACTGAAGCCCGCGTTCCTAGATCCTGTGTTGTGCAACAAGAGAAGCCACCGCAATGAGAAGCCCACGCACCACAACAAAACGTAGCCCGCACTCACCGCAACTAGAGAAAGCCCGTGCGCAGCAACGAAGACCCAACACAACCAAAAATAAATAAAATATTTTTTTTAAAAAAAATCAAAAATTATCCAAAAAAAAAAAAAAAGGAGAGGACAGCTGATGATCTGCCCTCAGAGAGTTGAGGCCAAGAGGGATGCCAGGAAACCACACCCCAAATATCATGTCTACTGTCTGCAGAAGAGCATGTCATCTGGCTGCAGCTGCCAATGGGGAATATGGTTTATTCCTCCCTTTTACCTGTCCATTGACAGACTATGAGCCAGAACTTCTGCTCGCAGGAGAGATTTTGAAATGTAGTTTCCTGGCTTCTAGCCACCCATCACCCCCACCCACAAAGGGAGAATCTAAAAGAGTAAGGATGATTTTGATTGGTAACAGGCAGTGTCAGGCATAGGTGTAAGAATCTGGCCAGCCCAGTGTCGGGGGGGGGGGGGGGGGGGAGAAATTTTCCATTACCCTTCTAGGTTCTTCTGGCTGGCCTAAGAATTAAATTGACTTGACATGAGATAGATTAAGAGGAGGAAAATCAAACAAACGTTTAATAACATGTGTACATGGGGAGAGACTCAGGAAAAACTGAGTGATTGATTCCCTGAAATGGCAAAACGTCACTGACTTGAAATATCATCTTCAGCTAAGACAAAGAGAATGTTGGGGGTTAGTCCTTTGGGGCTTCAGAGGGGAGGAAGGCAATTTACATGGAGATGGAGAAGCAAGTGTTTGGTAAATAAATGTTTACTGGGCTGGGCAGAGACAGTGGGACATAGAGTGAACTCTGATCTTTAATCCCTGTGTAGAGTTTCCTCCACCACACTTGCCCGTATTCTTTGCAAATATCTCTGGTGATAGCTCTATTCCTGGAACAGGCCCTCTGTCTACATTCTTTTAGGCAGTTAAGGGGAAGGTCAAACTTTCTTCCTGAATCTTTTGGGCCTTGATTGCTTTTAGTTAGAAATAATCCACATTCCAAAGGGACATTTTAGAGTGGCAGGTTTTTTCCCATCCTTTTGAAGTGGTGTCTTAGGTCTAGAGCAGCCCTCTCCAACAGCACTTTCTGTGATTATGAAAATGGTCTGTATTTGCACTGTCTAGCGCCCTGTGGTTACTAGGCATTTGAAATGTGGCTAGTGCAATTGAAGAACTGAATTTTATTTAATTTTAATTAACTTAATTTTCTTTTTTTTTTGCTGCACCGCATGGCTTACAGCATCTTAGTTCCCCAACCAGGGATCAAACCCAGGCCCTGGCAGTGAAAGCACCAGTCTTAACCACTTGGAGCGGCAGGGAAATCCCTAACTTAAATTTAAACTTAAATAGCTACGTGTAGCTCGTGGCTACTGCGTGGGGCAGGGCAGGTCTAGAATTCGACTCCTGCACCCTCTCCCATTCCATCAACTGGAAGATACTGTCTCATCTGACCTGAAGTGTCCCTGATCCTGCTGTCTGAATAATTGTTGTATTTATTGTGTTCTGAAGGTATTTGTTAGAGTGACGTCTGATGGAGTTGGGGGAGGGTTTCACTGAGTTTAAGGTATTGGTCATCTGATCGCTTTTTGTGCCAGCCTGCTAGTAAACAGTTGTTTCGTAGTTGGCTGAATTCGGCCCGAGACTTGCTTTCACCTTAATGTATAATAGTAGCGAGGTAGTGGGGAGGCCAGATATTTACCTACAGAACCTAATCACTTAGCCTGAGGAGTTTGCAACATGCACTTTTCTCCCAGAAATGTTGCCCACATCTTCAGAATCTGCAGTATCTTTACTGTTAGCAAACATTAGCAGATGACAAGACAACGGCTACATAAATACGAATACTAAAATCCAGATGAGCTAGTTGCCCTCCACTGAATACTTTTTTAATGTGAACATATGCTCGTGGTATTTTTCTTTTTTTAATTCTTACACCTAACACAGATTTCCTATGTATGAAATTATTTCTAATTTATATGGTTGACTCCATATTTCGTACTGTTACAAAGACAGCCCAATATTCTATTACACAGAAGAACCCTGACTACCAAGCGTTGTACCACTTAGAGAATCACAGGCCTGTTTGCTCCATAATAGGCACTTAAAAGTTCCTCTCTGTTTAGTCTCGCAAAATGCTGGGATCCTTATACTGGACGAAAGTGGCTTCTTGGGCGGGGAGGGGAATGCATTGGGAGATTGGGATTGACATATATACACTAGTATGTATAAAATAGATAACTAATAAGAACCTGCTGTATTAAATAAATAAATAAAATTTAAAAAGAAATTCATATAGACACAACAACTGGCATTGGATAACTGTAAATAAAAGCAATTCTTTTCAGAAGTTAAGAATAAATTCTGATAAAAACAAAACAGAAAACAAAACAAAAAAAAGCAGCTTCTTTCATGAACACATGACACATTTTTCTGCCATACTGTAAGAACATTAGCAATTGAGACTTTATCATTTGTTTGCCTATCAGATAAAGGGAATACTGATGCTTTAAATTCTACCGTTTTTCATTTTACTTAGCCTTGAACAGTTTATACCTAACGGCCTTTCTGCGTGTGTCATCATTTAAAAATTGCTCACCAGATCTCAAAAAGTGGTGTTACTTATTAATTTAAGAACTGAGTAGCATGGAAATGATGCCACATTATTTATTCAACATTCATGGAATTCAGTTTACACAAACTCTGGCATCCTCATTAATTCTCTCTTTACCTGATGGTGGATAACGCTAGTTTGGAATTGTCTTCAGAATGCTATAACTTTTATCCTAAGGCAAAAAGCCTAAGGAAACTGGTCACTGGGATATTTGCTTAGTCAGCAAACCTCGTATCATTGCTTTTCGAATTATTCTTCAGCCTCAACACAATTCATATTTACACAGTTGCATACAGGTATCCTGGAATTTGTGATTTGCAGCTGCAGTGATTCTTTGCAGGCAATTCCCTCGGATCACAGCCCTTCTGCATTAGATGCTCGTTTTACTGGGGCCTAAGGGATGGATCAGAGGGAGGGGCAACAGGGTGGAAAACATGTCAGTTTCTGGGGGATGTCTCTCCACACAGCTGGCATAGAGGTTGGGGGAGTGGGGTGGAAAGCAGCTCCTCCTTAGATGCCTGTGAGGAAACAGACAATTTGTACAGGTTACAGCTACTCAAGTCATCCACCAGGGGCAAGGGAGAAGCAAAAGGGGGACAGGATAGACTCAATCCAGAAATACTGAAGATCTCCCTTAGATGCCTTTGGGGACACTGTTGTTCGGCCTATACATTACCACATTAACAGGTTTTCTAATTTAGGGGCCTCCGTTATTTAGCGCCTTTTAACCCACAATCCTGCAGACAGTCAGACTGTGTATGCATTGGTCCCACTGACTCAGCATACTTGTGGATTTACGGGTGATGTTAATACTCGCTGACTGATGTGACAAGATGATACTTTCAGATGAGCCCTCAGATTTGATTGGTCAGTGCTTCAGTCTCATTCAGCTTCTCATAAAACCATATTATTGATAGGTTTTGATGTAAAACTAAAGACTCACCAATCGAAAGCTGTCCGCTCAGGGTGAGCTGCCATGATACCTTGACTTAAAGTAAAACTGTCACTTGCTTTAGTTCACTCATCAAACCTTTTGGTCTTCACTGCAAGAAGAACTGAAGTCACAGTAAGCGTCTGTGTTCTTGAGTATTTCCAAGATGTGTGGACACTTGGTGATTCTCAACTTCTCAAGGGAGCATGGTAACCGTAGCATGGTCCACGAGTTCAGTCAGTGTGCTCAAGTGGTTCATGAAAATCTTTATGCTCTCTCTGCCCCTGGTAAAATTTGATGATGTGGGCTTCCCTGGTGGTGCAGTGGTTGAGAGTCCGCCTGCCGATGCAGGGGACGCGGGTTCGTGCCCCGGTCCGGGTAGATCCCACATGCCGCGGAGCGGCTGGGCCCGTGAGCCATGGCCGCTGAGCCTGCGCGTCCGGAGCCTGTGCTCCGCAGCGGGAGAGGCCACAACAGTGAGAGGCCCGCATACCGGGGAAAAAAAAAAAATTTGATGATGCTGAAACATTCTATTTTGATTCTTAAATTGGAAAAAGCAATCTAATGAATGATGGTGCATAACCAATGAGGCCCTTTTGCTGGCTCTCGAATTACTTGTTTACATGGATTGAGGGTGGAATGGGTTGGCTTTTTACAAGAGTGATTAAAAGGGCTTCTGGATTGTACTCCCTAAACAGGATTTGCAAGGCTTTTAATGCTTTAAAAGGGGAAGTTGGAACCAAACTGAGCTGTCTGTCAAGGTGGTTCTTCTCACCTCCCACCCCCTTTTAAGCAGACTTGGAATTGTTCTTGGAATTAAACTGAACTTAGGTCACTAAAGGGAGCTTGGCTGGTGCTTTCCCAAAAGCAGACCCCATGTTCCGTTGTCACATTGCCTATACTGATTTCTTCTCCCTTGTACCTTTATCTAGGGCTGCAGAGGGGCATTGCTAAAGTCCCGTTGTCTTTTCTCTTTGCAGGCCTGTTGATCGGTGCTGGCTGTGCCCTGTACCCCCTGGGCTGGGACAGTGAGGAGGTCCGGCAGACTTGTGGCTACATTTCTGGCCAGTTTGACCTGGGTAAGTTCTCTTCATGCACAGTACTCCTTTTAGAAGAGAACCTTCTCTGATCTTTCATAGAAGGAGAAGGTGGAAAAGGGATGGAGAAGAAAAACCCATCCCAGGATTGGAGCCAGCAGTCACGTGTGACAATACACATACATTCATTTATTCAACTGTTTAGTGAAGAGCTATGTATAATCTACTGTTGGCCTGTACTGTGGGAAGTACTGTAGATACAAAGAAAAGAAATGGTCCTTGCTATGAGGTGTTAATATTCATTCATTCATTCATTCATTCATTCAAAAATCATATATTTGAGTCATTTCATGCACTAAAAGTAACTCTCTCTGTGGAATTCACTGTCTATTGGAGAAGATAAAGCAAATACTATGATCAGGAAGATGAGTGTCAGTGCTAAGGAATCTGAAGCAGTTTCACTCCAGGGTAATACACAGCTTTGTGAAAGAGATGGGGATGGAGCTGGGTCTTAAAGTGACCCTGTGGATCATCTGGCAGGCAAGGATTTCAGTTCAGCAAAGCACAGGGGAGGGATGAAGAAAGCTCGTCAGGGGACCATAGAGACCCAGGAAACAGGGTCTGTGATCAAGTAGGCCACAGCTCACACCTTGATGAAGGGCTCATGATTTTTTCTGCGTCCTAATCAGAAAATTTGAGCTATTTCTCACTTGTGCAGAGAATGTATTCTACTTACTTGGCAGCCTATAAAAATGTTTTGCATAGTACGACATGGTTTGCACCATTATAATTTGTAATGGTTAGCTAATATTTCCGTTGGTTGAGAAACCTACATTTACTTAACCACTTGCTTATTTCTTTCTAGTTGGGTATTTTGCCTACTCAGTTGGTGTTACGTAAACATATCGTAAGGAGTAGTTTAATGAATATAAGTCTTCTCTTGACTGAATCATTTTCTTAGGATGTTTTGCTAGAATTGGTGTTAACTAGACCGAAGATTATGAGCCCATAAAACACTTATTGCCAAATGATAGCCAACATATTTTTCCCTAATATATGGATAGACAGATTAAGTTTTTGACAATGAGCGCATAGTGAGTTACTAACTTGAACATCTGTCTGCTTTTCACATTAAATATTTCTCTCTAAGTAGAAAAATTTTGAGGGAACTGGTCTAACGGCAGTATTACTATATCCCAATTCATTTAAAAAATTTTTGTTAGAACTTATCAAAAAAAAAAAAAAAAGGCACTTCTCTGGCAGTCCAGCGATTAAGACTCTGTGCTCCCACTGCAGGGGGCGTGGGTTCATCCCTGGTCGGGGAACTAATATCCCGCATGCCGCATGATGCAGCAAAAAATAAATAAATAAAAGAACTTATAAGAAAAAAATTCTGTTGGATACTGAGAAAAATGGGCAGATGTGATATCATATAAAAAGTCTGTGAATTTGAAAATGAAGCAATTTTTGTTTGACTCAATGGATGACAAACACCTGCTTCCCTCAAAATACTATTGGCTCTTTGGGTAGAGGAGATGGTGCCTGAAATACCACCCAGTTTCCATGGATAAAAAATAAGAGATTTCCCTCTGCCCATTCTTCCCTCATTGAAGGCGAAGCTGTCCTAAGGCTAGATTAGTTTGTGATTGTTGTAAATGCAGAGAAGGGGAAAATACTGGCACAAAGTTAACCGCTAGCCTATCCTTTTTTTTATTGGAAAGCAAACCGTGTCCAGGGGAGATATTGCAATACAGTGTTTGGCATTTTTCTTTCTCTGGTATTTGAGGGATTCTCTGCTGTTTCACACAGGCCTCAACTTGGTTAGAATCCTGTTCTTGCTGGTGTCTTGCTGTTGAGTTTTGCCATATTAATTAGCAGGTTATAATGAAACTCAGATCCTGTTTTCGCTACTGCACCCCAGGATTTTACAGCTTCTCATCATTGAGGATTAAAAATTTGAATGTCAAAATTAACGTTAAAAACAAAACACTTGCCTCTTTCTTTGCTAGTGATGATAATTTTCTTATGTTATAAACTCACTAAAGCCGTTTTAGCAACCTTCAAATTACAGCGTTGTTTTAATTTTGGCCTTTTCAGTTTTAAATTTCTCTTAGATTGGATGATGAGAAAAAAAAATCAAAACTGGCATTATCTACAGATAAAATGAGTTCTGGGTCCCCTGAAGAAGTATTTTGGCTTTATCGAGTTCCATTTCTCCAGGTTACTATTAATTTTTCAGACTCTGTGATCTTTTCTCCCTAAAGAAGACCTAAAGGGAAACCGTGGCACAGAGATGTCACCACACCTTTCCCACCGAACTTGCTGTGTTTTCTGTCTTTACTAAAGTATTACTGTTCTCTGGAACACTGATGAGAGCTGAACTTCAGGGAGTGAGTGAACTCAGAGATTACGGAGCAAACTTGAAGAGCGTAGGGCTGGGTTGGGAGCCGCCCTGTGCGTGGGAGGGTGAGTGTTCTCTGCAAGGATGACTCTGTAGCCCGGTGTTAGTGGCGTACGTGCTGCTAGCCGTGGCCGTACCGTCTCTGCCAGTTCTGAGAATCTGAGCTTGTTTCTGCGCCTCTCCTCTCTGCGTGTGAATGAATCTTTCCTCCCGAGGGTTGGGCAGTGTTAATGTTATTAAGGTTCACGGCCTCCTTATAGTGGAATGTGGGTCAACTTCTTGGCGTGCCGTTATTGAGCTGTGACTGCTGTCTTTAGAGCAGGGGTCCCCAGCCTGTTAGGAACCGGGCCGCACAGCAGGAGGTGGGCGGCGGGCCACTGACTGAAGCTTCATCTGCCGCTCTCCAATGCTCCCTGTTGCTCACATTACCGTCTGAACCATTCCCCGGCCCCCATCCGAGGAAAAATTTTCAGGAAACCAGCCCCTGGTGCCAAAAAGGTTGGGGACCGCTGCTTTAGAGCATATCCCAAAAGAAATCATTTTTGCTTTTGTTCCCACTTTGGCAGATTATGTAAGGAGTGCATTCATTCAATTATTCAGCAAAGGAATATTTATAGGGTGCTTTCGATGTGCCAGGCCTTGTGCAAGGTGCTGGGGACATGGCATCAGGAACGAATTTAAAAAGACACTATTGTGGAGGAGCTGGGCCCGTGAGCCACAACTACTGAGCCTGCTTGTCTGGAGCCTGTGCTCTGCAACAAGAGAGGCCGCCATAGTGAGAGGCCCGTGCACCGCGATGAAGAGTGGCCCCCGCTCGCCACAACTAGAGAAAGCCCTCGCACAGAAACAAAGACCCAACACAGCCAAAAATAAATAAATAAATTAAAAGACACTGTTTATTCCCCTCATGTAACTTAAAAACTAACAGGAAAGGCACATATACTTAAATATATAAATATATGTGTGTGTGTGTATGTGTGTGTATATACACACACACACATATATATATGGAGAGTGTGTTATAAAGGGTCAGGAACTGTAATGGGCACCGTGGTTGTCTTGCCAATACTATTCCACTCTAGTTGGTCAGTCTAAGCCAAAGTTTGGCAAATGTTTCTATAAAGAGCCAGAGTCAGATCATGAATATTTTCAGCTGTGCAAGCCATATGGCCAAGTACATGGTAAGACAGTTCCTATATGAATGGGTGTGGCTGTGTCCCAATAAAACTTTATTTACACAAACGGGTAGTGGAGCTGTAGCTTGAGACCCCTGACCTCAAGCAAAGCCGTCCCCCTGATGTGCCAGAAATGTCTTCATTCCATTTGTGCTCATTTATCTATTCCTTCAGCCGGTCAGGATATAGGACAGTCCAAGACTTTGCACCGAGCAGCCCCATCCAGTTATCCTAGGATCCTTTGTAAATACTACCATTTTCTTGTTGTGTCATGTTGTGACATAAGGTGTGAAAAGCACCATTCATTAAGCTTGGTCATCGCACCTCTTAGCACTAGCCTGGAAAGCTTAAGCTCATTTGGGCGAGTGAGAATGGAGATGTTTCCAGAGGTTTCTGAGAAAGATGGAATCACATGCCTAAGGAAGAGGCATCAGAAGCCATGGTCTCCCTCTCTCTGGCAGCCACCCCTGACAAAGTGGAATAGCAGGAAGGAGCAGGCCGCAGGGCAGGGGCGGGCAGAGAAACCAGCCTGTGGGCAGGCATCCCTAGAATTTCCAGCCTTGCTGACACACAGTAATTCATTTCCTTACAGGGTAAAGATTGAGGCAGGCCTTCTCTTACTTGCAGCCCAAAGCAGCCCGATTGGTATTTCATTTAGTTGCTATTTTACCATTCGGGGGGCCCTGACCTCACCTGGGTGCTTCTTAAGGAGGTATTATTTTTAGCTGAGCCCTCAAGGCTGTAGAGGATTTCGGTAGGTAAAGAGTGAACGTGGGCGTGTTTTAGGGTGACAGGGAGGTAGGTTGCAGGCAGGTTAGGGAGAAGAGCCAGGAAGGAGCCTGATTACGCACCAGAGCGGGTAGGAATCCTTGAGGGGCCAGAAAGGGCCTCCCAGGGAAAGAGCATTTAAACTGAGTCCAAAAATATGAGTACTGTTTAGGCAAGGAAGGGACCACGTAAAAAGCTTACATTTGTGGTTGTAACATAACATGGCGGGAGCCTAATAGAATCTACTTTTTTAAATGCCTGCTTTCCTTAGAAAGGCACTTGGGGGAGAATTTGTTTTACATTCATCAAAACCAGTTTTATCAGGCTATTGATTATTTCTCAAGCATTTTCATATCTTATCAAGTCCCGAGCCTTGAAGCAATTTTGCAAAAATAACCACTTTCACAAATCAAAGACTGTTACTCTGCTTACCTTTAGATCACACTTATTTATGAGGAAGCCAGGAGCAGGTTTGAATACACACATTTTCAAAACAGGGAAACAAGAATTTAAAGCACGCTGCGTAATGAATTTCTAAATTCCCCCACTGAAATGGTATATAGCTTGCCTTGACAGTCGTTCTCAACCTTGAGCATTGGAATCAGAGGTAGGCTGGTTGAGAGGATAGATTTTTAGTTTCTATGCCTCGGATATTATGCTTCTGTCATTTGTGTTTCAAACAAGGATCCCCGGTGATT